TAGGGTACCCAAAAAGGGATCACAATTTTGACAACCACCCATATAACCCCAATATATACCCTATTATAATATAGTAGTTTCCATTTTCTTTTCCATTATCCCTATATAACCCCAATATATACCTCATAATCCCTATATAACCCCAATATATACCTTATAATCCCTATATAACCCCAATATATACCTTATAATCCCTGTATAACCCCAATATATACCTTATAATCCCTATATAACCCCAATATATACCTTGTAATCCCTATATAACCCCATATATAACCTCAATATATATATATATGATACCGATTTGTATGCTCCCAGCCGTCCCACCAGCCTTTGCCCCACATCCGGCTGCGACATCAGCCGTGCCTCACACGATCACTACGCTGCTCAGCTGAACTTCTCAGATTTTGGAGATTTTGGAGGAGTGTAGTATAGTATATCATAGTATAGAAGAGTATATTCTAGTACATTACTATGGTATATTATAATACATGACACGGTGCTCCGGTTTTCTAAAATCCCCTTCTGGGAGTCCTTGCAATAAGGATTACGATATACAAGAGTCCATTTTGGAGACTGTCTTACATCTTCAGGTTGCAGAACGGATGAGGACTGCGTAGATGTGATAAACGTGTTAGCACTAACGGTATGGCTGCAACCATGGAAAAGAAACTTGGAAACCGCCTTGCATGTTGGTTCCTGAATTCTCGCAGCTGCTGCAACCCTTCCCAGCCTCACTGATGGAACCTCGAATTTTCCTTGTCTTCGTCGGATCACCTCCAGCAATTCAAAAAGACAATGCGCGCAATGAGAAGCAGCAGAATCACCCATGTCTCCTATACACCCACCTCCCGTCTGCAACGTTTGCTGATGAGATTCCGCAGGAAGCAAGGAAAGAGGCCACAGCTTGGAACTAGGCATATGCTGATAGGATTACGCCTCACATGTTTGCACCAGGGCCATCATGCGTCGAGTTGCCCTTTTTCCGGATGGTGTAAGTGGCAAAGGCAGTGAAGCAAGGTCCGCCAGTCGAGCTGGAGTTCTGCACGCCGGGGATTTCGTAGCGCACGCAGGTGCCCGTCCTGCATGGGAACACCACCGAAAGGCCGGTAAGTGCTTGCGACATAGAGGGGGAATCATCAAGGACTCACCATACGTTCGAAATAGCACACAGAATGCCGGCAAAATTTGTCACAGGAAGGGCACATGGCATGTAGTCCTCTTACCATCGTCAGCATAGATGTTGATGTCTACGTAGTTCAGGGCTTTGACCAAGGCAGACGCATTGCACGCATTCGAGATATCCTGGCCACACTCGCGCTCCCTGAATCCTTCAATCTTAAACCGAAAGAAACCAAGGCCCTTCACCAAGAATCATCCAACTTAGGTGGACCCCCACCCAGTAATAGTGACTATAAGGGATAGTAGGGATTATATTAGGCTCCCATTATATTCTTATTATACCACTATTACACGGTGGGAGGTCCTCCTAACATACAACAGTCAAAAGGATTCCAAAGCACAAGCTGATGTCGCAAGAGGCCGGTGAGAGCAGATCTGCTATGTTTGACGTGAAGCGCCCTTGACTAGCTGTCATGAGGTAGTGCACCTAAGGGTACAGTTGGTCCCTCTTCAGCTTCTGAGGGATGATATAACTGTCATACAGAGATCATGTCAATGTGTATGAAGATCTAGTGGCATACTAGGTTTTGGGGCTAGCACCAAATAAAAAATGGCGCAGCTGCACAGATGACCACAATCTTTTCATTCAGGATGGTTCTACTCTTAGTAGCTCTAATGCCTAGGCCAGCGTCAACTACCAAGCAGCTCTGATGACTTAATCCGTAGAGCAATGGTTTATATGATGTCAATAGGATAGCAACACCTTCAAGCAAGGAAGACCTCCCACTTGGCTTTTGCTAGCAGCTGCTAGCATTTGAGCTATAGTCTAAACTCCTAGTATCCCCCTTAATAAGCCCTGATACTCCCCTATATAACCCCCCATATATGACCCTCTTTAAGGAGTTTAGACTACAGCTCATTTCTAGTCTTTGCTGCTTCCACCTTCCCGGCTTGGCTTTCGTCCGCAAACCAGTTTTCAGCTGCATTTCGGGCCTTGCTTCCGCGAGAAGACCTCAAAGACTACTCTGAACCTTTATTCGTGATCCCTACAGTATAAGCACTACAGTATAGTGGGGTCCATATTGGGATCAGAGCTCTCTGGCGCATCCTTCTGCAAGTGTACGTTGGAAGGTGAAAGTTTCCGTAGATGGATTTATGGAGCGACATGGAGATTGCGAGAGAATCGCCTGGAAGGCTCCTAGTTCCGCCAGCAGCGATATGTTAAGTGATCGCTTGAATTGATGCAGAATATTGCAAAAAGAAGCTGGTAGTACTTGAAGTCGAGCCAGCGCGCTATTGTTGTTTCTATTGCTGATGACTTCAGCTTTGCAAAGGATACGTCAATGTCAGCTGTTGTTTTTGCAGGGGCATGGGCAGGATCGCGATAAACATGATCTGGTCATCCCCCAATCAACAGTACGTACAGATGGCCCCACAACGATTATTATGGGCCCTCGTGGGGCTCATCACCCAAGACACGCTCACAGAAATCAACACCACTATCTTCTAAATATTCCAGAGGAAGAACAGACTAGACTGGACAGGACTCAAGCAAACCATGAACCACAAGAAAGACCCGATGAGTCATCAACGAAGTGCGAACACTTCAAACATAAGAGAGAAGGCAGATTTAGCTGCAGCAGCGCTGTATGCAGTAAAGACACCTCAGCCTGGTAGACCTGCGCGAGCACGAATCGAGCCAGTAGACATTGCTGCAGTGAGAGGCGGCAACCTCTGCAAATTGCAGATATCCGAACTGGTCCGGGTTGTGCATGTACCTCATTGAGAATTCGCGGGAACGGGGTCATAGCAAGGACCATGCTGCACAGTGCCAAGTAGTTTATCATGGCGCAAGCCATGTGAGGCTGTGAGCAAGATTGCGTTCCAGTTGCTGGTGACCACCAAGATTTTGTGAGGATGCCTCGTAGTAACACGTGGGGGCTGCATTGTTTGCATCCACCAGAAACCTCAAAAATCTTTCACAGGTAAATGTAAGAGGAGCGCTCAACCGATGTGCGAATAAGCAGCTGGGAGAATCCATATCTCTGTTGATCATCACGTATTACTTGTTCACAGAGCCACTTGATGAACCTTGCACAGCCACAGTATCGGAAGGTCATTGGAGAGGCACCGCTCTCACATGAGCTATAGTCTAAACTCCTCGTATAAACTCCTCGTATCCCCCTATATAATCCCCTAAAATCCCCTATATAATCCCCTAAAATCCCCTATATAATCCTCTAAAATCCCCTATATAATCCCTAAAATCCACTATATAACCCCCCTTTAAGGAGCTTAGAACTATAGCTCATATGATCAGCCTCTGCGATTTTGCCGAGGAGCTCTGGATGCTTCGTGTCAGCAGCTGTGAGCTTGCTCCACCAGTTTGCATGCAGCGCATTTGCGAACCTAAGAAAAAGACTTGAGCCATAGTCTTAAACTCCTAGTGACCCTCTTAGTAACCCCTACAATGCGCCCTCGAAAAACTCTATGATTTTAGGAGTTTAGACTATAGCTCACTTCAAGTTTCTGAAAGCCCGGAGTTTAGGGATCCGGTTCGCCTGTCAGGGAGGCGCCAGTAAGGTGCCCATCCCGCTCAGTTGCCACCGCCCAAGCTGCTCAGCTTACTGATTACACCCTAAACCCTGTAGACCCTAAACCCTAAACCCTATAAACCCTATAGACCCCAAAACCACTAGGAACCAGTGAGGCCTTGAACTACGGTGATGGCTCGGTTTAGAGCCGACACCTGGTGGTCCCAAAAATACTGGAAATCAAGTGGACATAATTGATTTAAGGTTTTGGCTGGGTTTAGGGATGTTCTACCCAAACGTTTTTTGGCTCCCCGGGCAAAAATCGAGCAGTCTCATCCAAGGGATCCGTGGGCTACATTGGGAACCCGCTTGTACTGATGGTGCCATCATGCCAGCGTGCTGCCGTGCCGGTGGGGGTTAGCGCGCCTTAATGCTTGGGATATAGTCCCCCTTAAGTAGATAGAATATGGGGTGCATGGGGATCTTTATTCTAATATACCCACAGCCATATTCTATCTGCTTCAAGGGGACTAGAATCCTGAAAGCCTAAACCCCTGAACCCCGAAGTCCCTGAACGCTAAACCCCTAAATCTAATCAACAAAAGCCCACTCCAATGGTGAGAAGAGTAATTGAAATGGTAATTGACGGCCTGCGAACAAAGCCAACGACAATAAGATCCATCACAATCACGCACTTTTTTTTGCTATCGAGGCACGTTGCCCACCAGAACCTCTGTCCACGAGCTGGATGCAAGCTTTCCTGCCAAGGGAAAGGCGGTGAAAGGGCAGACGGCCCTTGAGTATATGGTAGGTGTTATCTCGTGCATTGTCAGCATGGAGTGCAGGAGTGCATCCCTACAATCATCAACTATCCAACATTATTCTCATGTCTCTACATGATACCCAGATTGATTTCTGTTCTGACCTATTTGTTTCTTCCCTGCGTCCAAAAGAGGTAAGCCACAGCCCATGTAGCTCACGACCTACCTCAGAGGGTCACTACCCCGGCCTGATACCGCAATTTCTAAGCACTGCGTCTACAGATAATGGGGGCTTTCCACACTCGGGCGCGACCCCTACCCAAATGGAGACTAGGTGATCTTACTCTTGTATTCCCAATTCAATGGCGGTTCCCCCGAAAAAAAAACAATCCTTAGCTTTGAGGACGAAATTCATTGAAGGTGCTCTGAGGGCTGCGCCACGGGAACATCTGGCAAATGCTGCGATGAGGGCCGATTCAACAAACCTCCGTGCTCACGACCTCGCTGCTTGTTACATCTCACTGCCGGACCACCTAAACCAAGGACCTTGGGGTTATATAGGGGTTATATAGGGATAATGGAAAAGAAAATGGAAACTACTATAGTATATAGGGTTATATAGGGGTTAATATTGGTATAATGAAAATAACATGGAAACTACTGTGGGTTATACTAGGGTTATATGGGGTTATATGGAAAATAAAATGGAAACTACTCTTTGGGGCTCACGGTTTAGGAAAGAACTTGGTTGGAGGTCATTGGTGCCCGAGCAGCTGTAAAATGATGCCGTGGGTTGGAGCCGAGCGGCTGGAGAGAATGGGAAAGCGAATCTCTAGTCTCCAGCCCAACGACGTACTGGTCCTTAATTATCAATATCATATAGGATTTTTGGGGGGGTTAGATTGCGATAATGGAAAAGAGCATGGAAACTACTAGAGTATCATAGGGTTTAGGGGCCTAAATAATTACAGCCCAACGACGTATTGTTCCTCGGCTGCTTTGGACTTGGACATCTTTCTCAGGGTGTGCTCTAAAGCCAAGCATCGTAGCGGAGAGCATCCCATCACCGGGCCGCGCGCCCGCTGCAAACATCTCCATTGTCCACGACCCACCTTCCTGGGTGAGGCTGGAGGCACAAACCCGCAAATCCTTGCACATAGAAAGTTTGTGCACGCACGCCTCTTCTGCACCGTGGTCGCAGAGGCCTGTGCCTGGTGCGGTCTTTCGAAGAAGCACTGAGTTGAAACTGGTGCTTGCAAAAGCGTTTTGTACCTGCCTGCATTCCACGTGGTGTTGCAGCACAGGCTGCACTCCGGCGCAACGGAACCCAGTCCAGCCTGCAAGCTGCACGCAGTCACCAAGTCTGAGACTTTTCGTAGCCCCACTGCCTGCGGCAGGTACCAAAGCGTGTCGTAGGTGGCATTCCTGGAAGCAGACTTGCGCAAGAGCTGAGCAAACCTCAGCCTAGAGCTCAATGCCTTCAGAGAGTTTACATTGCACTCCTTGCATTCATCTCGAACTCCACATAGTAATAATTGCTTTGAGAAGCATCGATGAACACCTCAAAGTCGTCATCAAAGTAGGGCCTCCGTCCCAGGCAGAAGTACTGCGCGCAGCTGCCAGGCTTGCATCATGGCTTTTACTGGCATTGCATGGCTCCTGCTGCCATGGAGGGTTTTCAGGCAATACATGTGATTGGACCCCCTTGTGGCCCATGTGGCCAATTCATGATGTCAAAGCTGGGGTTGCTGTTTGTGAGTACGAGATCACATGCAAAAAGCTCTGAGCTGCCAACAGCACCGGCGTGGACTGCCACACATCACTGCGGAGGTTGTCGCAATGGCCCTCCACCGAAGCGGCCACATGCCTTCATTCACACCATGCTCATATCCACTGCTAAGACTCTTCTTGCAGTTAGGAGTAGCACGAAGATGGCAACCGTGACGACATGCTGATCCCCTATCGTCCTTACATATTCTTACATTGCTCTTGTTGGCAGGAGAAGAAATTGCTACATAATGACTACCATCCCTGCTGTCACTTCTACTAGAACTACATTACGATATTGCTACACTATTACTATACTGTTCTACAAATGTACTATATTATTGCTATACTATTATACTATATTGCTACTATGATTATTACTATACTGCTATACTATTATACTACTCTGTTATTACTATACTATCGCTACATTATTGCTATACGGGGTTCGGGAGACCGTAAGCTTCGGCGCCTGGGGTCCGGACTTGGATCGGAGTTCAGCTCCCACGTAGAGGAACTCCTGGAAAGCAGAGCTGAAGTGTCATGGCCATTATATAGGGTTTAGGGTTTAGGGAGAATGGAAAAAGAAAATGGAAACTGCTGTAGTATATTGGGGTTATATAGGGATAATGGAAAAGAAAATCGAAACTACTGTAGTTTATTGGGGTGAACAACGATGAATGCTAAGAAACAACAGCAGCAGCCGCAATCTCACATCATGCTAAACTGCGCGCCACATGAATAATTATTGTCTAGCATCTGGCATAAGAGTGCTTTAGGCCAAGCCCCACAATGTGAAGAATTACTCGGAAACAAACACTGCTGACAAATCCTACTATACTCCTATCCTAGAATGACTCAACTATGACCGATTCTTGGGCGCTGAAAGCGCCCTGTGTATGTGCGAAAGTTATGGGGCCGCTTTGGGTGGCCTGTGCGACATGTTTCTTCGACACCTGCTTCTTGGGGTGGGGGCTACAAAGAAACTCAAAATTAGATACAGCGGATTGGGAGCGCGAAGCTCATTGAGTAAAGTGAGGGCGCCTGCACTTTAGCAATCCGAAGCCCGGGGCACCCATCCTGGCCGCCTGATCCAATCCTCTGCTCGTCGTTGCCTAGATTCTAAAACCTAAGTCTCGGCCACGAATCCTGATCAGTCCTCGAACATCCTGCAACTAGGGTTTAGGGTTTAGGGTTTAGGTACCCTCTCCTTTGCTCTTGCCCTCCGTTCCTCCTGCCTCGTCCCAGCGAAGCTTCACACGAGTTGGATTCTCTGAGCCTGTAAGGCGCCTCAACGTGGTCACATGTCCACTGAGCGCGTCTCGACAATGTTGGGCCACTATTGTTATTATTACTAGTAGTACTATTATTAGAGAGAATATATACTATAGGGGGTATGTAGGGGTAATGGAAAAGAACATGGAAACTACTACATTATCTTTCTTTGTGAACTGTCTGTTGCTTCGATGAACCATGTTCGGGGGAAATTGCAGGGACCCTTCAACAAGCTCTGTATGAGTCCATGTCCGGGCTGCTGACTGTCTGACCCTAAAACCTAAACCCTAAACTCGTCTTCTCCAGCCTGGCATAGTCGCGCGAAGCATTCTGCCAGCTGGTCCTCGAAGTATAATGAGGGGGCTTCGGTAACCCCAACCCCAAAATTATCACCCTATAACCATCATATGATGATCATAGGGTCCTACTTTTGGGCTTGGGTTTACCAAAACCCTTTTATTAATCTGGGTTGGCCCCTAAAACCCTTTCAAAAAGAATTGGTATATAGGATCCCTGTTTAAAGCCATTAGGGAAAATATCAAATATCCCAGGGGCCTACCCAGTAAAGTATGCAGTCAGTTGCATGAGCTACAGTGCAAGCAGCAAGTTTGGTCCTCTCGCTGCCGTGGCGCGGGCCGGCAAGGTCCATGAAATTCTCTAACCAAGGCACCTGCATAGAGTCATAATATAGCCATAATATAGCAAGAATATAGTAATAATATAGTAATATAGTACTATAGAATCATAATATAGTCATAATATAGCCATAATACAGTAAGAATATAGTAGTACTATAGTACTATAGTACTATAGTACTATAATAATATAGTAAGAATATAGTAATAATATAGTACTTTGGTACTATAATACTATAATAATTTACGAGTAGTAGTATAGTAGCATGAAATTCTGAAACCAAGGCACCCGTGGTGGGGCGATGCTTTGCGGGCCGCTTCCATCCCAATACCGTGGATGTTGGCTATGTTGCTACTATATTACTAGGTTTAGGGTTTAGGGTTTAGGGTCTAGGGTTTAGGGGGGTTTAGGTGATATATTTTTACTATAATACTATAATACAATAGTACTATGATTATTACTATACCACTATAGCGGCGCCTTGTGAATTCCACTTTCCCTGGAAAAGTTGTCATCTTCTGCGTCTCCAACATGTGAGCCATAGTCTTAACTCCTTAAAAGGGGGTTCAGGGTTCTATAAGGAATTGTACAGTGGAGTATTGTAGGTTACCATGGGGGATATCAAGAGGGATACTAGGAGATTAGACCCCAAACCCTAAACCCTATATTACAGGGCTAATTAAGGGGGATAGTTGGAGTTTGGACGAAACCAAGCTCCTATGAGAGGCCTCTGCCCAAGCTTCGTCTTCCAGCCGGCCATCGATTGAGATCTGCTGCCCCTGCCTGAGTCTTTGCACCTGGGATGTGAACGATAATTACAAAGATATACCGAGTTCTATAGGGGTTCTATACAGCTTCATAAGAATTGTGTATGGGTACTGTATGGGCTACATATACATGTATATATATATGTGTATATATATATGTACACTCCCAAGCTGTGGCGCTGACCACGTATTGTGATGGGTAGTGACTGCTGATCAACTCTTCGATGACCGAAGTTGCCTGCGAGACAGAAGGTTGAGGTCGCTTGCAAACAGGCAATGATGTGGCACTACGCGTCAGGGAACTACTGGGACAAGTAAAGCCCTCTGAGCAGTACATGCGCCACGTAACCCATGCAATGCCGCATACCGTCCCAAACATGTGTGCAAGTGACTGTGACTGAAAGGTCGGCTATCCCTATTGCTTCCAAACAGAAGGTTCTGTCACTTGACATACGGATACGTACGTGTATGTTCATTCGCCCGAACTCGATATTCGCTTTTGCTGTGTTACTCACAGATACAGGTCTCTGAATCTTGCACACCTGCTTTCGACAGTTTTTCAAATCAGGAGACTTAAAGTTCGGGGCCTAGCATGGAAGCCAGTTGAGCTACTGTCTAAACTCCTAGTATCCCCCTTAATAACCCCTATAGTAGTCCCCTATATAATCCCCTATATAACCCCCTTTAAGGAGTTTAGACTATGGTTCAGTTAGACTCTCAAATGGAGGAAGTGCTGACTGCTTGCGAAGGCTGCCGCCTCTCGAAAGCTGCTCGCCCCATGGAAAGACAACACAACTGCGGTCTTTAAACAACCGCGCAGAAGATTCATTGCCTTTCCAGCTACAGCTTGCTTTCAGCTATCACAAGAATGGGAAAAGACCGTGTACTTGGGCAGGCATTATTCTTAAACATGCTTGGCAGGATTTTGCTTGGTTCATTGCACCCCTACGTCATGTCATTTCACTTGCCGGGGCTTGTGTTTGCATTGGTATTAAACCGAAGTCTTGAACACCATGAGTGCGCTGCACTGCTCGGAAGAGCTTTAAACCACAATGTGCTGAGCAAGATCTCCGGAACGCATATGCAGCAGACGCCGTCTACAAATGCATGCAGGCACTGTTGAGACTTTCGCACACATGCCCGAAGAGACACCTGCATACGCCTGCGGGGCGAACAGAAGTATGTACAAGCCGTACTGCACCGCAGCTGTATCTTTGAGCTGCAGCAAACAGGCCGTTGCCATGCAGCGCGCATGGCTTGCCCTGATCACCTTACTCCGGTTTAGGGGAATGTACTTCCAATAGCGCAGAAACAAAGCGAAAAGAAAAGATCATTAAAAGGAAAACTGGGACTATATAGGGGTTGTGTAGAGGTTATGGCTAAGCTGCCATAGATGGAGAATCAGCTAGAAAACGAACTCGAAACTGGGTTTATAGCGTTTATATGAGCCGTGGGTTAATGTTATAATATATTCTTTAAAGGTCCCCACCCAACCCACCTCTACAGTGCGTAGCTCATATGGGGGGGGAAGCTACTGCGACGGTTGAGGGATTCGCGTGTCTGACAACACCAAGTAGATTCATGTCTAGGAGCCCCTAAACCCTAAACCGCTTAGGGTTTAGGGCGACACGGAACCTCATGATGGCAGTCTTTTAAATCATGGTCTCACAAAGTGGGCACCCAACATTTATGTTCACCAATACTCCTGAAGCACTCTATATGCACTCAAGGAAAACCATCAAACATCTGCACAAAATACCATAATTCTAAAACCCATATCATCCTAGCTTCCATTTGATTTAACTTGATTCTCCGTTATTCGGGTAATATCCCCACCCAACCTTAGTCAATCCCTGAACATCCGTAAGCCCTAACCCCTAGCCCGTACTCCCTAAACATCCCTAAGCCCTAACCCCTAATCCCTAAACATCCCGAAACCCTAACCCCTAATCCCTAAACATCCCTAAGCCCTAACCCCTAGTCCCTAAACCCCAAACATCCCTAAGCCCAAAACCTTAAGCATGAAAAACCCCAACCCTAAACCCTAAACCCTAAACCCACTTGAACCCTCATCCTAAAGCCTTGGACAAGTATCTCAAAGGCCAGGGTCATCATACACAAAGTTAGCGCTGAGGCTTCTTCCAGGCCGACCCTGCAGGCTTAGAATAATGTAGTAATTCGTACATAGTAGTGGGATCTTAGGGCCAAGGGTTTAGGGTATATTCATGGGTTTCCTTACTACCCCCCTCTATACTACCCCCCCCTAAATTGCCCCCTCAATTAAGGTGATTTCAGGATAATTAAGCTTAATTCAGGTTTATGAAGGGGTATATAGTAGTAGGGTTTAGGGTTTAGGTAGTACATTGTATTATCTGATACTAGAAAACATGATATGTTCTGATATAGTTCTGTACCGTATGCGGCACTTTATGTAAGGCGTAATATTCTATGAGATCAAATGGCTTAGGCTTAGGCTTCCGGGTTTAGGGTTTAGGAATCTTTGGCAACAAGACCAAAAACCATGCAGCAGTTCTTGCACATACCAAAACTTGCGGTGCTTTATCAACATCCATCAAGTCCATCAATGGTGTCATGATGTTGCATGGAAGTCCATTCTCTTGAAGAATTAGTGGACAAGCATTCCATTCATGGAAATAAGGATGCCTCCCGACGTGAACATAACATTGCCACCCTCATCTCCAAAACATCTGCACACCCAACTACAACTCATCCCGTGTCCACGTACGGGAAAATTGCCAAAACAAAAAAAAAAACAGCCACTCTGATCCAGTCAGCTTTCTGGGGTTAGTACGGGCACGGAATAAGGGAATGTAATCCCTAGATAA